ACCTTGCAGCCCATAAATCAACATTCTGTAGCCTTTTCAACTGAAGTATATATTATACAGCTCTTTTCAGGAAATACAAATGAAGAGTTCATTTGCAAAAAAACAGATAACTCCTCCACTTTCACAAACCTTCAGAAAACCCACTTTTCCATCGTCTACCTGAAACAATACCAATCAAACTTAAGTTATCTCTATTTTCGTCATTTCTACTGAGTCAAATCCACTCAGCTTCAGTTTGATCGATATCATCTCAAGCAAACAACAAAAAATACATTTTCTGAAAATCTACAAAAATGGAGTTATCTGTTTTTTCAAATTACCTCTTCTAATACAATCATAAAATCAGACTCATCATCAGCAGATCCAACAGAATTTACTGTAAAGACTTGGATCATTTGAGGGGAAATAGCTTGTTGAAGACATCATTGTTCATTAGTTATCAGTGTGTCAGAGTAATTGTTATATTACTCACTCTGAAATAGTGAATCATAGCAGCAAGGAAATTCCCAGCATTGCTTTAGAAAACGTTGATGTCATAGATGCAGCGAAACAGTTCAGCAGCACTGAACGGTGAGCAGGTGATGGCAGTGGCCATTAAGTTCACAGTGAGTGAACAAATGAGTCAGTGGATGAATGCAGGAGTGAGCATGTTTCCCAGAACCCTCTGGAAAGTAAATACGTGGACCTTGAATTTTTGCTAAAGCTGCTATTTCCAAAGTTAATTATGAAAATGTATGCTCAGTGATTACATTAATTTATGGCGCTCGAATGTGCTTCACATCCAAGAAATTCCTTTAAAACTGTGCCAATCCTTCTACTGAGCCATTATTTAGTTCATTACTGGACTCAATGTTTGAGCCAACAGTGATGAAATAGTCCAGTGGCATTTGTCTGAATGCCATTCATGTATGAACATGCAGCATCCCTCCAAGTTTCATCAAAATCCGACCAGTCAGTGCGCTTCAAAGGTGAAATTCTGACCTTTAATTATGGCATTTCCGTCAGTAGCAAAAATTCAAGTGCATTCGCCCTCAAGGAAGTTTTTGAATCAAACCAACACTGCTCGCCATGGTTGCTCCAAGACATGATATAGGAGAACGACATACAGGACAAACACATATGCATGCATGTTTACTGCTTCACTCACTTTGTTAGTCCTGCGGTAGAGTCGTGGAACCTCAGAGGCGCTTTTCAGGAAGCGACAGCTGCGTTCAGTCAGATGTTGGGTCATTCTGGTATTAAGAGTGGGAATGCTGCTTGACAGGCAAGCCTTGGAGTCTGTTAGAGCATCTGACATGGAAGAGAGCTCTTGTAAATGCACAAATACACATGGTCTGAGCCCCTTTGTGTAAAATGAGGGAGGGAGAGCAAAAACAACAAAAGGTTGAGGGATGCTGGAGAACACGGCAAGCTCAACTCATTGCTGTATGGACAGCTTACCTTCTACAACAGCAAAGTTTTTGAATCCGATGGCTTCTAACCGCTGTCTGACCATCTCTGACAACTCTGGGATCTAAGAGAAAGACAAACCAATTATCACTGTGGAAACAACATCAAGCAACCCAAGGAACCAAAACATTAAAGAAAGCACAAAGAATTCTTAGGATGGGACACTTTGTCAAACTGAGGCTAACTTCATAACTTTAAAGTGTTTACTGTATCTATGTAAGCTGAAACTATACACTGTATGTAAATATATACATTCAGTTGGTGTGTGTGTTCACCTGCTCCTGCAGCTTTTGGATGTCTGCTGCAATATAAACCAGCTGTTTGGTGGACAGGGAGGCAGGGCTCCCGCTCTCACTGCCGCCCTCATCCAGTGACGTTCTGCTGGATGTGGAGGAGGCCGAGCTCGGCAGAGGTCTGGATGGCTCTTTAACCACCTCAGGAGGCGGAGTTTTGGTCAACACCTGTGCAGATACCGATCAAGGTGAGGACCGAGAACATGTAACAGCAACTAGATATTAAACTAGAATGTTTTCTAGTTTATTGACGTTTACCTCATCGAGGAACTTGGCGTATCGTGAGTACAGCTGCAGCGTAAGCTTCCAGAACCGATGGGCCAGGGGTGACAGATAGACCTTGTCTGACCAACACCTCACTAGGCAGGACCACAGCACCTCAGATACCTGCAGGTGGTATACGCTGCCAGCTGGACGTGAACAAAAACACAAACACAGTTACTCTTGGTAAAGTTTTAGGCCCACATTGGCGATTATTGGAGGATAAACTCCTACCTGGCGCTGCCTCTAAGCCGTCACTTATTGCATTCTCCAGGCGTCCTGCTACTTCCTTGTACCTGAAAAACAATGGTGAGACATACAAAGAGGAGAAGAACAGGACAGTCAATATGTTATCAGCATCTTTCTTGCGTCAGCACTGATTTTCATGTGCTCATGGCGTGAAACAACACTGGAAATTTTCCTCTTTCCAGAGAAGCTGAACTGTGGAGGTTTGTGTTGTGAAATGAGGACACAAACCCTAACCTTTGCTTTGACGTGCAATGACGAATCTGTGTTTTGTGTGCCTTTACAGTGTGTGTGTTGCTGTGTGGGAGGGAGAAGGCTGGCAAACAACTTCTCTTTCTTTTTCACACAGATCAATGGCCATTCAGTCAAGGTCCAGCATCATGTTTATGGGCTATGTTTAGTAATATGCTGACACACACCCTTAATTTACATTTTGCTTCTTGTCATCATTCGGCATGAAAGATACAGCCATAAGCACTTTTCTACATTCCTATTTTTTTTTTTAAAAAAAGGGCTTTGTTTAAGTTGTGAGAATCTGCCAACTGGCCTTCATCTCCTAAAAATGCTGACAGGCTGCTATTTTAATCTAAACTTGTCTCTTGAGTCCACAAAGCAAAAACAGCCAATTCTTCAAAATATATGCTGTGCACAAATTCCTTCTTCACCAGTGACTAACTACATTGATTAAATACTGATTAAAACGTACCTATTACCCCCTAAATGCAAAATGGTTTTGTAATACAAG